GGTCCCTTCCGACCCTAGAAACTATGAAACTATGTTTTGCAGTTTACCAAATGCACAGGAGATGTGGTGGAGTCCCAGATCCATCACCTTGTCTCAGTAAGTGCTGAAGCATGTCCTGTGGGAAGAGATTCCCATTCTACTCCCACATTTGACTTTGTTCTGGGCATGGCAAGATTCCCAAGACAGTTTGAAGTGGCAGATTAATCAGTGTGTAATGGGTGGGATGGTTCTGGCTGGCAGCATGCAACTAAATCATGTGAACAGAAGAAAGTATCAAGGAATTGGGACAGATTTAAACCTTTGACTTCTGTTTTTTTAAATACTTTTAAAGTCTGTTGTAAGGTTTTGTGAGTGCTACATCACAGAAGCACAAGTGTATTGGGTTTCATTAGCAAGGAGCGGTAATTTGATGCCATTGGCTTGGCAGGATTCAGCCTCCGTAGATAAATGTTAGCATGTCTCTCCCCACTCTGCCCCACAACCAAAGACGCATTGCTTGTTGACAAAAATAGAAGTTAAAAGCAATTAAAATGTTCCACTTAAAGCACTTCTGGGAACTGGTGTACACTGGGTTAGCCCCTGGTCCTAGGTAGGGTATCAAGCACAACAGTTTATCTGCAGTTGCCACAGAAGAGGTCTTCAGAGAGCTGCTGACTCCCAGCAGTGCAGACACCCTGAGCTGATGCTGTTCTGTCATCACTGACAGTGCTTCTATGAACTATACATCTAAAAACCTTCAGTAAGTGAAATATTTAGGAATTAACAGTGATTATTCTGAGCAAATGGAATAAAAGCCAAATCCTGCTGTGTCCAAGTCCTGCTCACTGGCCTCTGAACACATCCTGGATGACCTGCATGTTTAACAACAAATATATTTGATCTAGCATCTTACATTTAAGCTTCCTTAACTTGGCCCAGTTTTGGAGCCTTGCTGCTCTCTATTACCTGTAGCACTGAGTGACAATGTTCCTTATGGTTTAAAGACACTCACCACTTTTTTATATTGTTCTGAATGACAAGTAAAGATGTTACCAGGATAGCTAGGAGCACCCAGCGCAGAACAGCCCATGGAACAAGGATCCAGCTTCTGAAATGAAAGAGGAAAACAAAAAAATACTTTGAAAAGCCACAGTGGAAATACTGGACCCTCAGGTGAGAGATGTTCTGAGCAAATGCTTGATACAGCAAGTGTATGTTATGCTGGTGGGAAGATGTTCAAAGAATGCCTAAGGGAGTGAGGAGCACAAGTGCCATTGATTGTGGGTTGGTTTCAAAAACCATTGGTGTTGATGGGCTGCCCTGTTGCCCTCACTACATCTAAACAGAGATAGGAGTTGCTAGCATGGATTAGACCAGAACTGACCGTATAGCCAAGTAAACCATCACCTCGGCCGAGGCAGGTGCAAGAAACCCAGTGAGACAAATATTACATCATCTGCCCAGCATGCAGGTCTCTTCCTGACCCTGGTGGTTTGGTAATTGCCTTGTGCCCTGAAGCAGGTTTTTTACATGCACTGATGCTTTTATCCTGATGCTGTAACTGAATGTTCTCCATGTCCACAAAAATGTCATTTTTTTAAAAACCACGAGAAACTCTTTCCTTCATGGCATCTTGGAGCCATGCTCTGACATTGAGGTTTGCAGTGTCTTGCATTAGGAAACTTGTCTACGCTGGTTTCCTTTCTCTTAGGTTTGTCTCCAAGGTTGTTAGTGTGCTACGTAGAATGGTACCTCGGCACAAACGCTTCCACTGTGTGAGCTGGTCGTTCAGGGTTTCTCTCTACTTGTGTGAAGTGCATTTTAGCCTGTTCCCAAAACTTGGCCTATAAGTACTCTGCTTTAAAAGCTTAAGCAGAGCTCTGAGACCCCTCCTGTAATCGTTATGGACACAGCAGATGGCTGGTACCTACACTTCTGTGCCAGGAGAGCGAGAGGAGTTGGAGCGCAGTGCTGGGTGACTTGCTGAATTCAAGGTGAATGTAGAATGGGCTGCAGAGGGGGTGGCAGCCTCTACCAGTGGGGTCAGGGTGGCTCTTGCACAGGTAGGCAGTTCACCATCTGTAACACAAATTAAACGTGTTTGTTTAGACATCTGTGCAGAGGCAACACTTGGGCATTGCATCCTCTCCCTCAGAGAGGGAGAGCAGACAGCAGACCCAAAGAGAATGTGCTGCACATGAAGTTAACAAAGGAGTCTCTGCCCTGGAAATTCAGCTAGCTGCTTCCAGCAGCAGATGGGGCTTCTCATTTTGACCAGTGGGTGACAAGCTGTGCATTCGGAGCAAAATGTCTGGCATCCCTGCCACTTGCATGCTGGTCATGTCTGTGCGTGCACAAGGCATCAAGGGCTACCCTGCCAGGTAGCAGGAGGATGGGTGAGGGAGTGTTGTGTCAGTAGCCTGACCCCCTCCCCCCCAACCACAGAGACCCATGTTTAGCTAGCTGAACTTGGTAAGAGGGAGGTTTGATTTTTTTTTTTTTTTTTTTTTTTTTTTTTTTTTTTTTT